AGAGAATATATAATTTTAGAGAGAAAAAAAAATGAAGAGAGGGAGAGAGAGGGCCTAAAATGAGGGAGAGAGAATGAGGTTAGTGGTCAAGTCTTGGTCCAGTTAACCCTATCCTCTTCCAAAATGAGTGGCTCAAAATGGGTCAAAGTCTACCCTATACTCCAATACCAATAATGCCCTCCAAAACTCACCCAACTATAAGTCATGCCATAAAATATCTTATTCCACCCACTAGCCACATGTACACATATATATGTATATATATCCATGCACATATACACATCAATGATCCAATTAAATAATTTCATGATAATGAAAAGTAATATTAAGACCCATACAACACGTAAAACGATGTATGAAAAAGTAAATAAAAATAAATACAAAAAAATCTGAAAAAATCCAGGACTTTTCACAATCCGCCCCAACTCACACCAAAAATCGCTAACCGACTTTACCGACGCGAGATTGATTAGTTATCCTAGACTCCAAATTCGATAGCCATTTGGGGCGTAGTATTCAATGTTACATGTCCAAATCCATCACGCGCTCGCTCTAGGTCGAGTTAGCCCCAGACTAACGAAATATGGTTCCCTTCATAAAACCTTTTCCGTTCAAAACATTAAAACATTCTTCTTTTCGTAAAACTTTCTAACACAATTCATATGATAATTTCACCCCAATTTCCCAACCATGTCTATGCCATGAATGAAATCATGTATCTTTAAAATCAATATATATTTTTTGCAATTCTTTTAGGGTAACCAAAAATGCTCACCAATATCATCATGTATATATATTTTTTCAAGAGAACCATTTAAACACATAGCATGCTTTTCAACAATTTGCCTTCAAATACACAAACAACATCACCTTTACACATAATTTCATCAGAAGGCACATATATCATGCTTAACAAGAATCAAAATAAGGAACTCAAAAAGAAGGCAAAACATAATACTTTAAACACCCCTACCTCAAATGAAGCAACCCAAGCTCCTAGCTCCAAAACTCGAATCTCAACAAATGTTAGCAAGATCGGTGTCAAAACGAAGCCCTTAAGATGATCTTTAACTTTGCTAACTATGGCTTGAATCAAATCTACCTTTAGGTTGAGGAAATCTAGAGAGAAGATAGTAGAACAAAAAGAGAGAAAGAAAACTTAAAGAGGGAGGGAAATGGCCGGAGGGAGAAGAAGAAGAAAATGAGGCCCATAATGGCCTTTGGTCTCCTCAAATATGTGGTCAACATTCGGGTCTTCCTTTGACCCTCCAAATTTACCAAAATAACCTCCTTACAAATCTTAATCACAAGCATGAAATAAAATATCTTTCTCCACTCACTAACCACTTATATATATACATCCATGCATATATACACATCAATTCTCAATTAGAAAAATAAAAATAATAAAAAATAACACTGGGGCCCACATGACACGCAAAATAATGTATGAAAAAATAAACAAAAATAAAGTGCCAAAAAATGTGGGAAAATACGAAACTTTATAATAATGGACCTATAGAGTGTTAAGGGAACAACTTCTATGGTACACTCAAGTGTAAGATTAGTATTAAGGCACAAAGGTGTGGAAACAACCTTACTTTCAGCTATACTAAACTTCTTAAGTAACTCAGTGGCATATTTCTCTTAAGAGATAAAGATACCAGTGGAGGATCGATGAATTTGAAGGCCTAAAAAATATCTTAGAGTGCCAAGCATTGAAATGTTAAACCTTATTTTCATAAGGTTTGCAAATTCAGAGGTCAAGGAGTAGTCTGAGCCACAGAACATGATATAATCAATATAAATCTGCAGAATTAGAAAGTGATTTTAATGAGTTCTGACATACAAAGTATTATCAACTTTCCTTCTGTAAAAGCCTTATTCAACCAAGAAGCTATGTAGTTTCTCATACCAAGCTCTGGGGACTTGTTTAAGGTTATACAAAGCTTTACTTAGCTTGTAAATTTGTGAAGGAGATTGTGAATCTTCAAAAGCCTCAAGTTGTTCCAAGTAAACTTCTTCATTAAGGTCTCCATTTAGAAAGGCAAACTTCACATCCATTTGATAAACCTTGACTTGTTTGTGACAAAGAAAGGAAATAGGCATTCTAATGGATTCTATTATGGCCACTGGAGTAAAGGTGCTATTATAGTCAATTCCAACTTATTAAGCATAACCTTTACACACCAATCTAGCCTTGTTTATGATCACTGCACCTTTCTCATTCATCTTATTCTGAAAGTCCACTTAGAGCCAATGACATTCTTGTCCTCTGGTCTTGGCACTAGAGTCCAAGTGCCATTTTTCTAAATTTGATCAAGTTCTTCCTTCATAGCAGCTATCCAATCTTCATCATTCTTGGCTTTATTATAAGTCTTTGGTTCAATTGAAGGGAGCATGGAAAAATGACTATATTATTCATCATCTTTTTTTTCAAGTTCACTATGTCTCTTCTTAGCTTTGGTTTGAATGCCTTCCTTAGGATTTCCAATGATGTTTTCAGGTTAAACCTGTTTCTGTAAATAAGGATATGTGGTTTCTTTCTGAACAACAAACTCTGAGTGTAATGTGCTTGCTTCATTTAACCCTGGTAAAGAACCTTTATCTTCAAAGACTATGGTTTGAGGATTCTCATCAAACTTCACATGAATTGATTCAACCATTTTAGAGGTTCTAATATTGTAGCATCTATAAGCCTTGCTCTAGGTTGAGTACCCTAAAAAGATGCCCTCATCGGCTTTTGAATCAAACTTTCCCAAGCTGTCAATGTGATTAAGAATGTAACATTTACTTCCAAACACCTTAAAGTAATGGACTATTACAGGTCTTCCATACCAAATTTCAAAGGGGGATTTAGTGGAATTAGGCTTAAGAAGCACCCTATTTATAATGTACACTGCTGTATTCACAGCTTCAGCCCAAAAATCTTTTGCAAGGCATTTTTCAAGTAGCATTATCCTCCCTATTTCTTATTTAGTTTTGTTCTTTCTCTCTACAACACCATTTTGTTGAGGTGTGGCCACAACTAAGAACTCCTTCATGATACCTTTGACATCACAAAACTTTCAAACTCTCTCATAGTGAACTCAGTGCCAAAGTCTGATCTAAGCTTCTTGACGATGCATCCTCTTTGATTTTCAACAATATTGGCAAACTTAATAAAGTGTTTACTGGCTTCTGATTTCTATTTCAAAAAGTAAACCCATACCACTCTACTAAAATCATCAATAAGGAGCACGAAATACTTACTTCCACCAATGCATGTAGTTCTAGTCGGGCCACAGAGATCCATATGAATTAGGTGAAGTGCCCTTGAGGTGTTCACTTCTTTAGAAGGGAATGATACCCTTGTTTGCTTCCCTTGTTGGCATGCTCTACAAGTGTGATCTTCTTTGAATTTTAACTCAGACAGGTCCTTTATTGCCTTAAACCATAGTATCTTTGAAATATTCCTTGGGTGAACATGTCCCAGCCTCTTATACCACATAATTGCTTCATCAGTAGTTGATAAATTGCATTGACTTGGTTGAGCCTCTTTAGTGATTGTGTAAACATTTCTTGAGGACCTATTTACAGAAAAATAAATAAATAAATAAATAAAAATAATGGCCTTATCTGAGGTAAGATCAACCACATTGCACTTGTCTTTGTCAAAGCACACCTTCTTGCCTGTATCATATAGTTGACTCACACTTAGCATATTATGTTTGAATACCTCAACATATAAAGCTTTAATGATCTCTCGTAGATCTTCAGACTTGTACGCAGTTCCAGTACCAACAATTTTAGCCTTTTGATTATCTCCAAACACTACATTACCACCATCAAAATTTTTTAAGAAAATGAACTTGAAACTGTTATCTGTCATGTGTCTTGAGCATCCACTGTTAACATATCATCTATCATTGGTGTTATAAGCTTTAAAAGTTGTGTAAACCAATATACTCACTAAGTTAAGCTTCTTAAGGATCTATATCATCTTAGTCTTAACAAAGGACATTTTGTCTTTAACTTTCTGAGCTTGTAAGAGGTTTGATTTCTTCAAATACACAGGAGTGAACTTGATGTTTTTCATGGCTGCAGTGATAAAGTCACACTTGTTAAGCTTTAATGCAGTGTAGGTCTTGTCAAGTAACTTATGTTTGGACCTAGGAAACTTCACAATGGGGAACTTAGCATACAATTCACCAGAGAAGGACTTACCAAACACTGAGTGAGTTTATTTAGCCTTAGCTATAGTATCATATAGATAACCAATGCCTATTTTGCCAACTTACTTTGTAGAGTTCTTCCAAATCTCAGTGATCTCTCTTCCAGAGCTTGTGAAAGTTATTCCTTGCACCTTTTGGTAGTCCACACATCTTTGTTAGATTAGAGCTTCAATATAAAGAACACAGTTAAAGAAATGGAGTACAAAATTAACAACTTTAACTTAGACTGTTTGATGAGTAAACCCTTGGACTTGTGTAACTCTGAGCTAACTCTTTTGATTTATACCTCCATAGATCACACTTCATAACCAATCTCTTACACTCTTCAAGGATTTCTTCCACTTCAATGTCACTATCCTTATCTTCTTCAATATGAGATTTAGGGTTTTAAAAAAGGGCCAAGAATAAGCACTCATCATCTTGAATTTCATCTAGTTTGTCTTCTTCAAGGCTTGCATCCAAATCTAAAACAAGAGTTTTCCTTCCAAATCTACCTCTGTTATTAAAGTTCTCAGCCTTCTTCCGAGTTTAACCTTTTAATCTAGGACAATTAGCTACATAGTGGCCTGACTTGCCATAACCATAACAAGCTTGTTGTGACTGAGACTTCTTTTTAAACCTAAATTTTCTAAACTTCTTGGCAAAGTAAGTAACTTTATCTTTCTCAAGATCATCATCTTTAGACTTTGATTCAGCATCCTCAATAACTTCTTTGGCCTTAAGTGCTGCTTCTCTTCTGTGTTGTGTAGGTGCACCAATTCTCATCTCATGTGTAGTGAGTGAGGCTCAAAGATCATTAATTTTCATTTGAGAGAGGTCTTTGTCTTTAAGAATAGTGAACTTAGCATTAAACCTTAGATTTAAGGTCCTTAAGATCATCTTGCACACTTCAAAATTTTTAAACTCTTCACCAAGAGCCTTCATGTTGTTCACAATTTCATTGATCCTGAATAAGTTCTCTGAGATAGCTTCCTTTTCTTTCATTTTATAGCCTTCATATTGAACCTTGAGAAGTTGTATCTTCTTCTCCTTGATTATATTATTCCCTTCATGAGCAACCTTGAGAAAATCCCATATTTCTTTAGTTGTCTTGCAGTTTTTAATCCTTGTGAACTCTTGTTTCTTAAGAGCACATAAGAGATCATGCCTTATTCTTCTATCATTTGCTAGAGTAGCTTTATCATCTACTAAAGGGTTATTTGGATTGAGAATAACAAAACCATAGATGGTTGCATACCAAACATCATAGGACTGTAACATGAGAAGGCTTCCATCCTTGTTTTCCATTAATCATAATTGGAGCCACCAAAACCAGATGCTTTGTTTGTAACTTGACCTTCATCCATTACACAAGATCTTCTGCAGGTTGGTTAAAACCTCAAAAAGGCAGACCAAGGCTCTGATACTAATTGATGAATCAAGAAGGGGGTGAATTGGTTCTTCTATAAACTTTTTCTTCTTTCTTGGATGAATACAATGGATACAATTTGATAAGGATAATAACAGTTTGAAGAAGCTTGCAAACAATCATACGTACACAATGCATTTATAAGGAAAACCCTTTCAATAGGGAAAAACCTTGGTTCTTGGCTTCAGCCAATAAGTCTCCACTAGTAGTATGCAAGTAGTTTCACACTCAGTTGTGCCGCTCTCTGCACACACCTTTGTACAATACGAAACACTGGCTTTCACAGCCTCTACACACACACTAACACCACTAAGTGCACTCTACACACCAACGGGCCAGCGGCCTAGCGGTATTAGCCTTTTACTTCCTAAATGGAGGTTAGGAGTTCAAGTCCCAGAAGAGACAAGTGTATGTGAGTACCAACTAAGAAAGAAAAAAAAAAAAAAAAAAAAAAAAAAAAAAAAAAAAAAAAAAGTGCACTCTACACTCCCCTTATCCACAGCACCCTTGCTTCGACCAAATGAGTACTCTTAGCTCACATACAATACAAATAAAAGGTTACAATCAACTATACTCAAGCTAGATTACAATATAAGAGTGATAAATAAGCTCAGAGTATCAATCACAGCAACTCTTTCATTCTACGGTAGTTAGGGTTTGAGGGGTAAATATGAAATTTGCATACGTTCAAACTCATAGATGAATTCCACAACCTTATATCTTTAATACAAACGTGCTCAAATGATAATCATGATAAGTATAGCATGTATATACAATCGTAGCAATGATATAGGCTCAATTCTGTAGAACCTTCAAAAACTAGGATTTCACAAGGTCAAAACCTGTATTGACCTTATTTCTGTGCAAACCTCAACTTCAACAACCTTAATTCAACTATGGAATCTTGCTCAAATGATAATAATGCAACTTATAGTAAGATATAGTGATAATAAGTTTAGATCAATAAACCAAACTAGTAAAATAGGATAAAACACAATCCGAGACATCAAATTTAAAAGCAGCTATAAGATGGTTACATACATACTTTCTGCAAGTGTAAAATAGTAATTTACACTTGCCTTAACCTTATCTCAGCACCACAGCCTGTCAAACCAAATTTAGACCTCCAAACTATCTTCTACACTAGTAAACTCATAGTAATAGGCCTCTATTGTGTATACTACTCTTGTGTTCACTCTGTTTGTATTTTTGAGCTTCAATCAAGCTTTGATCAATATAAATATTTTGAAAAAACTTTGTTTATATTTTGCTCTTTGGTATCACATAATGTAGTTTGCTTTAAGGTTTGTCATGAAAGCTTAAAACCTAAACTATACTATAATCGTATATATATTGTAGTCCTTGAATTCAATTCCTATCTCAATAAGGAAATATATCTGGCACCATTATCCAATAATTGGCCACGGAATAATATGAAATTCCTTATATGAATGGACCATAATACCCTTGCCACCTTTACATAAATTATCATCTAGCAAGCAAGCTAATTAAAAGCTTATGTATGTATATATATGACAATATATATCAAGCTTAATCACTAAGTAATGAATAATAGCCCACATCTTCTCATACTAAGACACAAGACACGTGTCACAAGAATGCTCAGCAATTTGCATTAACCAAAATGCCCTTGTAGATACACTTGTCAATATACACTATCTTCTGCAGATGTGACTGTGAACACTTGATCAAATTGTGAATAAAAGCAATTCAATACATTGCATTATCAAAAACAAGTGTATTATGATATAATACATTTTGAAAAGACTTAATTGCCTCTAGATGACTCTATGGCCAAATATCAACTTCTATACAAGGGCCTGTAACCCTAATTAGCTTGTAGTGTGAACTTCTAACATAATATACCATACTTAGGCCATTTAAATAGTCTTCTCAACAATGTAGAATGACCAAGTTGCCCTTGTAGATCAATGTAAAACATTGTGCATGCCAAAATCACTTAAAACACAATGAATGTAACGACCATAATTTAAAAAACTCGGAGCGTTAGCGAGTAACCCTAAACCCGACCCGATATCTAGTTCGAAATGCAAAAGCAAAAATAAAGAAAAGGCCACTAGAGGTAAATATCACCTCTAGGAAGACATGAGAACCTCATAATAAGTCTCAAGACAAACTCGAAGACAAAAACGGAAGTTAAGATTAAAATGGACAAAATATGGAACTAGGGGTAAAATGGTCATTTTACCCAATGATGGATAAATTTAACTCCAAACAAACAAATTAAGTGTACTCAATCCAATCTAATCAATTCATAACATCCCAATAGGTTTTAAGACCTTTAGTCATAGTTTCCCAAAAATACCCTCTCCCGGTCAAGTGATTTCCCAACACTATCCCACTAAAACGAGAATATATCTCAGTAGGAATTGAATCTAAAAATGGGATTAATACAATTGGAAATATAACTTAATATTCTTGAATATAGGCTCAAGAATGACCAAATTTGGACCTGAAATGAGGGAGATATGACTATTGCAAGTTCGGGTGAAAATTTTGCCCAACGACTGAAAGTAGGCTCCCAAAAAGGCTTTACAAGGCCTAAATTGATATGCGATGATCAAATACACCCAAATGACCCCAGAATGTTCCGGAGTGGTCTGTTCGGTTGTAGAAAAAAAAAATAGATGAATAGTAACTGTGACTAAAATTGCAAAAAAAAAAAAAAAAAAAAAAAAAAAAAAAAAAAAAAAAAACTACTCAATCTTTGGTATATTGTTTCCCCTTGCCCAAAAATAATCTCAAGGCCTATGGATGAGAATACCCCTGAATGCATAAAATACCAAAATTAAACATTTGGATGGAAAAATGGAACTTTAAACATACATAGAAAGAAAAGTGGCCCTTGGCCTCATTTATATTGTTTTGAAATACTATAAACATACATCCTCAAGGTTAAAACACTGGCTTGAACTTCCAATAAAGTAAAATACATTATTGAGTGTATAACTCCAATTTATTTATTGAATTACATATAAGACAAATGTAAACGCAAATGCATCAAAACATGTCTTCAACTTTGATTGTCATCCCAAGCAACTCCTTTGCTAAAAAATGTTTGTATAATAAGGGGTGAGCATAGCCGCTCAGTAGGGTATGGACTATACAAGTAAATGTGTCCTTTAAAATCCCAAGGATATACAAGAATGCTCGGCATCCCAATGATGAAGAGTCATACAACCTAAAGATTAAGCTTCATGAAAGTTCGTACAACCTAATTTCTATAGCATGATAGTTGTGACAACCCGAATTCTTTGAACCTGTGCGCCAGCGAGTAACTCGAAGACTGACCCCAAAACGGATCCCAAACGCAAAATCAATAAAAGAGATGTAATCTCTAGAGATGAATATCATCTCTAAGACACCAAAGTGACTTCCCGAGAAGCCACGAGACTTAAAAGAAATGAATGTGGAAGCTAAAGTTTGATACGAACCAAAAACAAGAACAATGGTAAAATGGTCATTTTATCCTAAGAGGAGAAAATTTGACTTCTAACAAGTCAAATGAGATTAAAAATATCCAAAAACATCATTTCGTAACCTCATATAAAGTCTTAAGGTCATCAGAAGTGAAACCCCATGGAACCCTATCCCGGTTCAAACTAAATTTCGACACTCTCTCACTAAAATAAGGGTTTTTTGAGTTAGAAGCTGAATCTGAAATAATAGTTGGTACCATTGGAAAGCTTATTTCAACACGGTCAATTTAGACTCAAGAACAGACCAATTTGGAGTTAAAACGAAAGAGATATGATTGTTTGAAGTTAGAAGGTCAAAGTTGGAGTTCTGTTGAAAAGGTCCTGGGGAACCTGAACCGGTTTAGGACTCCTGAATGGGCTTAACCTGGGCAAAGTGCCCATGTTGAACCCCAAAATGACTCTTGAACGGATTCCAAGGGGCTGAACCGGTTCCACCTAACCAAAATGGTGGAAAAAGGCTTAGAAAACCCTATTTTTGAATTTTTTTTTTTAAATCAAGAGTAAAAATGGACTTTTTGGGAAAAATATTTGAAGTAACCCCTATCCAAATTCAATTCTAAGATCACCTATGGTTTAAACCAAGATTAAAAATGTGACGGCCATGGTTTTTCAAGCCAGTGCGTCCTGTGATGAACCGTAGTTTGACCCGATAACGGATCCGAAATGCGGAAGCGAAAACAGAAAACAAGTCCCTAGGGATGTTGTATATCCCTAGGACACCAAAGTGACCTTTCATAAGGCCACGAGAACTAACGCGGAAGAAAAGATTAGAAAAAAAAAATTAAAAAAAAAACCCCCAAGGGCAAAATGGTCTTTTACATGGAAATAACGTCCCTAGAATGTATATCGTTCCCGAGATACATCCGTGACTTTTCATAAAGCCATGGAACTCAAAAGAGAGTAGCGGAAGCGGAAAGCAAGAAAAACTGGACGAAAATAGCCCCAAGGGCAAAATAGTCATTTCTAAAAATAAGGATTTGGGTGCCACCGAGCACATTGCTGGAAAAACAATGACAAACTAATCAAGATGGACTCAAGAATCACATGATTCGGAGTCTGAACGAAGGAGAAATAGCATGACGAAGAAAACGAGCACTTAAGGCTAAAAGGGTAAACTGGTGACTATCCAGGAAGATCCGGGTGCAACCGAGCACAGCGTTGGAAAGACAACGAAAAATTAGTCAAGTTTAAAAAAAAGTTCACTCGATTTGGAGTTTGGACGAAGAAGAACGTGCGAAAACAAAAATCGACGTCACGACATCGAGACGGGGCACCACGAGCATCCCACGAGCATCCTGACAAGCACCATGACATGCTAAGGAAAAAAAAAAAAAAAGATTCATCCAGAATTGAGAGCC